CTGAGTTATTCTGATTTCTGAACATGGTTGACCTTTAACAGAACTGACTTATATCCTTACCCAAATAGCTATGCAAGGATACTGCCAGATTATCACTACAAAATCTTACCAGTTACCAGCCATGCTTAAAAACCTTGCACCACCAGAGGCAAAACAGATACGTTACTCTGTGTGGTGTTGCCTGGAGACAGCTTTAATTTTTTATGCTAGTCTTTAATCCAAGTAATTAAGTAATCTTACAAGGAATAATTATATATGGCAATAGGGTCAAAAAGGTAGGGCAGCTTTTCCATGCACAAACATTTTAAGAGTAATATCAAATGAAAACTTAGCAAGTAGATTTAATTATTAGAAAACAACTTAGGAAAACACTTACCAGAAGGTCCAAAGTCCTTTACAAATGTTAAGAATACATGTACTTGGGGCTGGCGCCGCGGCTCACTAGGCTAATCCTCTGCCTTGCGGCTCTGGCACACCGGGTTCTAGTCCCCGTCAGGGCACCGGATTCTGTCCCGGTTGCCCCTCTTCCAGGCCAGCTCTCTGCTGTGGCCAGGGAGTGCAGTGGGGGATGGCCCAAGTGCTTGGGCCCTGCACCCCATGGGAGACCAGGAGAAGCACCTGGCTCCTGCCATTGGATCAGCGCAGTGCGCCAGCCGCAGCACTCCGGCCGCGGCAGCCATTGGAGGGTGAACCAACGGCAAAGGAAGACCTTTCTCTCTGTCTCTCTCTCTCTCACTGTCCACTCTGCCTGTCAAAAAAAAAAAAAAAAAGAATACATGTACTTGGAAACATCTCTTAAATACCCAACATGGTGTAGCTTGTTTAACCAGCAAATTTAAGCACAAGTAATAAAATGTTTTCAGTTGTTTTTTTTTAACAAGTTTACAGAGATTTAGGTTACACGAATTTTCAATTAACTTTAGCTGTTTAAACTTACAGGAAACATTTTGTTACAGATTACAATATAATCAAACTCTACAGCAATATGAACACTTGAGATAACTTTCTTGTATACATAACATTTAGTCCAGCAGAGACATTAGAAAAACATACATAAATGATACAGAGGAGTTGATTAGATAGATGCATTTAGTTTCACAGCAAACTATAGGGTCACATACATCAGAACAATAAAGCAGTTTCAGTGATAGTTGTTAGAATCTTTAACCTTTTTTATAAATTACCAATTGATTTGAATTACTTTCTGATCTTAGTAAACTCAGTTAACTATACTTTTTCCTAGTTGGTACCTGTAATTCATTATTGGCTTTATCAGTCCACAAAGTCATCCCAAGGTACTGAATACAATAGATGTAGCTGGAAAAAGTCCATTGCAACCAATAGGAGGACAGTTAAACACAGAACCAACAACACTTTAGTTTTATGAGTAGTAAATCTGATATACAAAACTGTGGATGACAAAAGACCTTAAGTTGTTATATTTAAAATTACAAACTTGTTAACCAAGAAGAGACACTTGTTTGCTTTACATAGCATTTTTGGAAGCACCTGTAGGATTTTACAAGGCACACTTAACTTTTTTAGGCCTCTGGGGCCCCTTCACCAAGATGACCATTATGTTTAGTAACACTAGATTACCAGACTTTATAATTTTCAGACATTTGTATTAATACCATTTTATATTATGACATAATACAGACCAAATTTGAACACTGTTACAGGGTGATTATTTAAAGGTTTGAAAATAAGCACATATTTAAATAACCCATAGTTCTTAATAAAAACTCAGTTGTTTTTAAACAAGTAGAATTTAACAAAGACATCAAGAGAACATAATAGATTACTTTAACTTATTGCTTTAACAGAGAATCAGTAATAGCTTCCGTGTCCAAAAATCTTTTTTCTTGTAACTTTTTGTGACTTTTGCATACCCTCTTACTTCAAAAAATTTTTTATGCTTGTGATGTTTTTTATCTGTCAATTTTCTTGCTTTACATTTTGAAATAACCTATTAAAATCTTTAAATTAAGACAACATTCTTAAAAAAAAAAAGACAACATTCTTAAACAAGGTAACACATTAAATTTCAGTGTTAATTAGTTTTAAGTGATGTTGAACTACTTTTTATATAGACAATCTATGAAAACACGTTAGCAAATTTAAGTAGTTTTTCTATAGAACATAAGGTGTAAGGTGTTGAAAGTACCAAAGTTTACATTTAGACACTTATCTCATTTGTCTTTACCCAATTTAAATTAGCAGTTACACCTAAATGACTTAAGATCCTGATATTATATATCTCTATCTGAATTTAATTAAAATTAAAATTGTATTTATCTAAAACAAGTGCTAATTACCTATTACTGTTTCATTGAGTACTGACCACCCAGAAATTTTTGAAAACAAATTGCAAAATAAGTTCAGCAAGTTACAAAGCAATATCTTCTGGCTTGTACGAGATAAAACAGAAGAGCCATTAGAAGGGTGGGATACCCGATTTGTTTCATTGATAAGACAGGGAGAGTAGACTTTGGACCAGACCTGATTTTAAGATAGAGTTCAAATTCTGAGATAAGGCAAGGGGGAGGAGAGTTACCCAGTCCATGCCAATCTCTAAGGCCAAAATCAAATTTTGTGCCAATCTTGCGCACAGCGCCACTGCTTTGAAACCCGCCAACAGAGCCTGGCAATAGACATGTGTGGGGAGCAACCCGGACTGGACTGAGTTACTGGAATTAAGACTTATTCTATGCATCTGCTCTCCCACAATGTGGCACTGGGAGAGGAGCGTACAGCTTCTACCCAGCTGCCTCTCACCAACTTGACAAGCTGCAAGAGCCGCTCCTGATTGGAGGAGAGCAGCGTACTCGGCGTGTGGGCAGCCGAGTTGGGATTGGCGGAGGAGGACTATAAAGGAGGAGAGAGACAACATGCACCAGGAACACCTGAGGAACACCTGTGCAGCCCCCGAGAGAGCCGACCGGCGGTGTGCCGCTCCCCCGCGGAAGTGGGGAATGTGGCAGGGGGAACCGCCCTTCCACGGAGGTGGAAGGGACGGTAGCCAACCCGGGAAGAACCAGCAGCAAACCCGGGGAGGGCCGAGCAGACGAAAGAACAACACAGGGTCCTGTGTCGTTCCTCCACGAAGACGGGGAGCGACAGACATGGACTCTCTCCTTTACAGAAATTAACCCAATTGTTATTGTCCTTTTTAACATTTACATTGTTTTAACATGCCAGAGGCTGTTCACCTTGGAGACCTGTTGCAGATATGGGTATGGCCCGGCGTGAGAGATTTATACCCTCTCCCCCAGATTTTTAAGGGCCAGCAAGAGCTCAGGGATGCCGCCAGCCCCCCAGGGCTCCCGCTGGCTTTCCGCACTTTATTGAAATTTTTTACTTTGACATTTAGAGCACTGGGCAGAAATCACATCGCGTCAACACATGCCACGGGCCCTCAGGATGCTTTAACAATTGGATTCCCCTGGTCTGCACCACTTCTAAGTTGGCTGTTAGGTGCTGGCCAAGGCCAGCCGCTGCATGGAACTGAAGCCACAGGGGTGGGCCTGGCGGGGGGAGGGGCCACGCACTGCACGCACTGTGGGAAAAGGAGAGGGGTCTCCTCCTCGCACCCCGACCCCAGGAGCACCGCGCATGCAGAGCCTGCCAGGCTCCCCGAAGGCGGCCACAACTCCCATCGCAGCTGGGGCAATCCATGGGAAGGGCCCAGCTCTCATCCAGAGTCCCCGCTGCCTGCTCCCCAGGTGCCAGGGGGAGGCGCACACCCAACTCCACTTTGCACTCCAGCCCGACCGACCCAGCCCTTAACCTACATTATTATGAGCCACCTTTTTTTTTACATTTTTTTTTACTGTGCAAGAGTTAGATCCAGTGGAGTCACCCCATGTTCTGTCCAGTTAAGTCAGTTGTCAACAGAAATAACACAAACACCACTTAACGAAAAGACAAACACAGGGCCCATATAGAATTTCTGTGGACAGATTCAGATGGTCATATTACAGAAGATCTCGACTGCTCCAAGGGCAAACCTCCGGGAGTCTGAAGGAGACCAAAGACCTTACAGATGGGACGAGAACTCTGCAGCAGTCCTTGTTCTCTTCGTCCCCAGATACAGATTGGACCTACCCAGGTCCCAGATGAGGAATCGGGACATCTCCCGTTTCCTGCGGGGTGTGCCCTGCAAGCGTGTCCACTTGGGCAGTGACCCTCCACAGATTCAGAATACAGATACAACGGCCGATGCTTCAGATTCATTGTTTAACGAACAAACAAACAAACTCACCCAGTCAACTGGAGCAAACCTTCGGGGTCGAAGTAGCTGAGGGGCTTTTTGGGGATCACAATCCCAGACAAGCCCCCAAATATGTTGTGTCCAGATCATTAGATCCCCGCAGAGACCCCCAGAGAGTTGACCACACCAAACTGCAAGAGAGCAAGGTTTCTTCGGGAGTACAAGCCACAACAGGGACCCCATCCAACGAACCCGTGCAGCAGAGGAAGGAGTGAGGCCCCAGTCTTTGTTTGGGAGTGTTTTTAAAGGAAAAATGGGCTACATCAGCAGGAAAAAAGAGTTCATACAGCATGGAAGCTTTGGGTACAGGGAGTTGCAGTGGGGGCTTACAGCACCGGAGCTTTGGGGGCAGGGAGTTACTTTGTTTAGCAATCTCTACTGTGCTGTCCTTGGTCTACCGAGCTAGCTGTCCCTGGTAAAGTTTGATATCTCTGGAATGCCTGAATGCCTGCTTTTACAAGGACCTGGGTCTGCTATGGGAAATGGAGGCTGCTTTTTTTATTGTTTTAAAATGGAGTAATTTTGGTTCTTCACCACCTGGGTCTGTGACCCAGATCCTGCCTTGTGATGAGGGATGATGAGGCTGGCAGGGAGGCAGCTGTCGCCTCTGCATGGGCAGCGGAGGCTGGGGCCCAGTGGCTGTAGAAAAAGGCTGCCCTGGCTCAAAGCTGAAGAGCCCTGGAGGCGGAGCCTAATAAAGAATGTGTAAATAAAGGTCAGGTGTCATAAAGGGTGGGGCGGGGTGCACAGTTGCTAAGGCACGTGCTCCAAGGGGCTGCCATAATCCATCAGCTCCTGCTCAGGGCATACTGCATGTGCCCCAGCAGCCTGAGTCACTGTATCCTGAAAACCCCGTCAATGACCCATCTGTGCCTGTGGGTCCCATGGCTCCTCTTCAAGTGGCAACTGCTGTGGCTGCTGGTCCAGGCGACTCAGCCTCTGGAGTGGACCCAGGACCTGGTCCAGATGACCTCCAGCCTCCCTTGGCTCTCTGAGCCCTGGTCTTCCCACTCCTCGAACTTCCCACCTGAATCACCTGACCCGCTCAGACCCCCGGCAGACCCCAGCAGCTTTGATGACCTGAGGTCTTCTGCTCTCTCCCAGATGCTGGCCTCGCCTCAAGAGTCCACTGTGAGTTTGCTTCCTTTTCTGGACATGGATTCAGCTCAAGGGCTGCCCCTAGAGTCAGAACAGCTTGCTGTTCCATACCAGTATTTCAACAGGCTGACTCGACAACAGAGGCTACCAGAGGCCATTCCCGTGCTAGACGGGGATCAGGATCAGCCCCTGGCTCTGCCTCCTCGACTGGAAGGAAATGCTCACCAGTCATTGGAAGCACTCGTTCTGCCTCTAGACAGTCAGAGTTCACAAGGAAACAAGTTGATTGTTTCACCCCTGACCCTGATCCCCAAGAAAGATCTAGCTCGGTGTCGACGGCTTCCTAAGGTTGGTGTTGGAACTCCAGACAAAGCAGACAAGCTTCAGGGTCAAAATCAAGTTTTGCTGGCTGACGATGGGGTCTATCCTGGTGGTTTTCCTACAGAATCCCAGGAGAACACAGGGGAAACTGCACAGCCCTCTGAGCAGGCTGAACCATCTCAATTCCTGCTGGAGGGCCAGACTCAAAATCCAGAGACTCAGGAGCCCATCCAATCCTCCTCCCCACAGCAAGAAGAACAAGCTCCGCCTCCACAGCCCATTGAACCAGATGAACCTTCTTCACCCCAGCAAGAGGGCCCAGGTGCAGACCTACAGCAGCCCGAGGAAGAAGCATCTCCATTGCAGCAGGAGGCCCCCGCTCAGAATCCATTTGCTACTGCAGAAGTAGTAGGTCAGGCATCAGTGTATCATGATCCTAACACTCCATCCTCACCTCAGATTGTAGCTCTCCAAGCAAACTTCCCCAGCGTCACACTGAAACCTGCAGACACGGAGCTGACAGAAGCCTCAGGGGCAGGTGAGGAAGTTCAATCTACTCCAAGCACGGAGCAGGCTCCAGCTCAGCCTCTGGGGCATCCTGAGGGAGTGGGACTCCCCTCAGCCCAACAAGAGGCCCCAGTGCAGACTCTGGAATTCCCTGGGAGGGTGGAATCTTGGACTCAAGAGGGTCTAGCTCAGACTTCAGATCTCCCTGAGGAGACTGGACCTTTCTCTACCCAAAACAATGCCACAGCTCAGCCCTCAGAGTATGCTGAGGAAGTCAGCCCATCTGTAGGCCAGCAGGGGGCCCCAGCTCAGCCTCCAGGCCTGCCTGTGACCATTGAATATTCCCCAGCAATCAGGAGCAGCATGCTCAGCCTTCTGAGTCTCCTGAGATCAAACCTTCTAGAAGCCAACTGGAAGCCCCAGAGAAGCCTTTGGCACTCCCTGTGGAAGTCAAATCTCCAGTACAGCAAGATCCCCGAGCTCAAGCGCTAGAATCTCCTGAAGAGAATATCATAGCTCACATCCACATATTCAGAAGGGGATAGACTGGTCTCTAGATCAGAATCAAGATCACCGTTCTAACCTGCCCAACGTTACCATCAAGCCTGCAGATGTGGCACTGACCATAACTCCAGAGCCTACCATGGAGTGGGACTCTTCTCCAGTGCAGCAGGAGGGCTCTGCTCAGACTCCAGGCCCTCCTGTGGAGACAGAACCCTATATTAGTGATCAGGAGCAGCCCACTCAGTATGTTGAGTCTTCTGTAGAGAACAAACCCTCTCCAGCCCAGCAGGAGACCCCATATCAAACTCTGGGCCCTTCCCTGGAGACAGAAGCTTCTCCAGCCCAGCAGGAACCCCCAGAGCAGACTCCGGTCCCTTCTGCAGAGACAGAACCTTCCCCATTCCAGCAGGCACCCAGAGCTCACACTGCACGCCCTTCCGTGGAGGCAGAACCTTCTCCCCGTGAACAGGAGCAGATAGCTCAGTATGCGGAGGCTCTGGTGGAGACTCAGCCTCCTCCAGGCCCTCCTGTGGAGACAGAGCCTTCTCTCAGAGAACAGCAGCAGATTGCTCAGTACGCGGAGGCCCTGGTGGAGACTCAAGCTCCTCCAGGCCAGCTGGAGGCCCTAGCTCTGACTCCAGTCCCTCCTATGGAGACAGAACCTTATATCAGTGAGCAGGAGCAACCAAGGCGGCCCTCTGAGTCTTCTGAGGAGGTTGAATCTTCTGGAAAGAAGACAGAAGTCCCAGCCCAGCCTCCAAGTCCTCATGAAGTGACCATTTTATCTCCCGGTCACTATCAAGTTCAGCAGTACGACTTGCACAATGTGACTACTAAACCTCCAGACCTGCAGCTGACCGTAACACCAAAACCTGCAGCAGAAGTGGAAACATTTCCAGTCAGCCATCAGGCCACGACAACTCAGGCCTCAGTCCCAGCTCTGCCTCCAAAGCCTCTTGAAGAGGTTGAACCATTGCCAATTCAATCCCCAGAAGTTATGCAGGATGAGAAACCCTCTATGACCCAACAGGAGGAAACAGCTGAAAATGTACAGACCCCAAGGAGGCTGAGCCTTCTCCAATCCATCAGGAAGCCCAAGCTCTGAGGCCCAGGCGCAACTGCCCTGTGCCAAGCTCACCTCCAAAACAGGCATCCTGATGAAGCTCCTCAGTGAGCAGCAGGAAGAAAAGATAGCCAAGAAAGAATGGGACACAGAGCAGTGGAGGACTGAGACCTATATCAATGAGAGTACAGAAGCCCCGAGTGGACAGAAAGAGCAGGAGTCGAGTAAGGTGAGGACAGGAGACCTGCACTTTCCCATCACTTAGGAGACCCCACATGGGGAGACCAGGGGCTCCCAGTCCAGATCCCTTGGCTCTCTGAGCGCTGGTCTTCCCATTCCTTGAATGTCCCACCTGAATCGCCTGACTCGCTCACACCCATGGCAGACCCTGGCGGCTTTGATTACCTGGGGTCTTCTGCTCCCTTCCAGGTGCTGGCACACCACACCCACTTCCATGCCTACTCCTTCTCTGGGCACCTCTCCCTCCTTCCTCTAGTCTCATATTCAAGAGAAACAATTGGCCACCAGGCACCTACCCAGATGTCCTGGCCGCACACCTCAAGAACGCCTTTGCTGGCATCTTGGCTCACCTGTTTGACCCACCCAAGGAACCCCTTTACAGGTAACTTAGTTCTTTGTTTCTATTCATAGGATCTTACCTAGCCATATGGCCTGCTGCCTCTGCCAATTTAAACATACTATCAAGAGTGTCTGCATGACCATCAAGCCTGGCAAATACGACACATTGGCGTGAGTCGGAACTACCTGATGATCTTTTTTTTTAATTTTTATTTGTTTTAAATTTCTTACTTTAAAATTTTAGGGACAAGTTTAAAGTAACAATGTGATTAACTGCTATATTTTTATTCATCCATTCAGATTTCAACTCCCTAAATTGCTAAACTGCTCCCTTGCTAAAAGTCAGGTTCCCAATTACCACTATGTAATTTAATAATGTAACTTACATATGCACAAAGGATCATGAAAAAGAGATGGAAGGGGAAGGAAGTAATGTTGGGAACCACACACTGTGGTGTTCTGTGCTCTTGGGTGCTTTGCTTTCCAATGATAACTCATTTGCACACAGTCTATAAACTGGTTTTCTATGTGTTGGGCCTCAAGGGCCCTCTGTCTTATAGAACAGGTCTACACTGCTCACTGCGGTTGTTTGTTTTTGCACTTGTAGAGAAGAGTACAAGTGATGCTGTTTTATTGGGAGCCTGGGAGTTTCTGGTCCCACAACCAGAAATGGCTGCCTGGCTCCTCTGATGCAGTCGGAAGGCTCCTCCATTCCTGTAGACTGTCCAACTCTGAACCTGCTCTGAGTCTCACGCTTTTCTATCCACAGAACACTCGGGTACTTTTAAGTATCTTTCTGTAGATGAGGGTTATTACCACTGATGTCATGACTTCCAAAATGTGACCACTTTCTTCCTTAGACAGCTTGAATTCGGATCTCAGTCAGGGATCTGAGGCATTAGCACAGTGATAACTGTATACCCATCTACACAGTGTTGCTCACCTTCCAGACCGGTTTCCTACCAATTATATTATTCCCTTCGTCTCAAGAGGTGAGAAGGACAAGCATTGTTAATCTCCCTTTACAAGGGTGGGAAAGAACACATTGAGGTGAGGAGCAAGGCCCCTTGGCTTGACCACCTCTGCCCTCACTCCCCTTACATGCCTATCTTTTGCCATGGACACCTGTGATGGCAGCAAGAACACAGGGCCACAGGGAGGGAGGGGGGGAGGAAGCCTGTGCTCCCTCAGCATGAGGCAGGACTGTGGAATGATGTGGCTGAGAAGCAGGGGCAGAGCCACAGAAGGGGCAGCTGGGTGGGGCCATTTGTCCTCCAGCCTTATTCTAAGCCTGGAGTGGTTGGTCATTGGAAACCAATGAAATAATACTGATCATAGTTACTGCTTTTTTAACACTGTGAACTCTTCTGAACGCCCCCTCTCAAAAATACCTTTTTCTCCTTTGTTGTTGCCATTTCATAAGGTTTGAGTTTGGTTTTACTTTTCTCTCTAAAGTCTCAATGATGGCCGGCACGGCTCAGTAGGCTAATCCTCCACCTAGCGGCACTGGCCCACTTGGTTCTAGTCCCGGTCGGGGAGCTGGATTCTTTCCCGGTTGCCCCTCTTCCAGGCCAGCTGTCTGCTGTGGCCAGGGAAGGCAGTGGAGGATGGCCCAAGTGCTTAGGCCCTGCACCCCATGGGAGACCAAGAGAAGCACCTGGCTCCTGCCTTTGGATCAGCGCGGTGCGCAGGCCACAGCACGCCAGCCGTGGCGGCCATTGGAGGGGGAACCAACAGCAAAAGGAAGACCTTTCTCTCTGTTTCTCTCTCTCTCACTGTCCACTCTGCCCGTCAAAAAATTCTTTTTTAAATTTAAAGTCTCAATGGTACCCCAAATATTAGATTTGACTCCTAATTTAATTGATCAGAGTGTAGGGCTGTGGACTGACATAAAACTGTCCCATCAGTCTTCTGTGCCAAAAAGCAGTCTCTTCTTTTTTTGACAGTTGAAGAAGCATCTATAGGGAACCCAAAGGGGGCATTCATGAAGATATTGCAAGCCTGGAAGAACAACACCAGCAAGCAGCTGACTATTGAGCCAGAGAACCCATTATGTACAGACCCCCGTGGAGGCTGGACCTTCTCCAATCCATCAGGAAGCCCAAGCTCACGCCTCAGTGTTCCCTGCGGAGCATGAGCCTTTGAAAGACCAGGAGGCAGACACAGCTCAGCAGCCAAAGCCCCCGGAAGAGGATGAGCACTCCCCACTTCCAGGGGTCCCAGCTCAGCCTGAAGAACTGAAGGAACCTTCACCAAGCCAGCAGGGGATTTCCATTCCACCTCTAGAGTGCCCCGTAAGTGCTTACCAATTACCACTCCAACAGGGAAACACAAACCAGCCTTCAGTAATCTTCCCAGAGATGAGTGATGCTATCCCAATGAATATGACATTATTTTCACCTCTTATTCCGGAAGAAATACTTAGAACTCAGCATTTAAGGTTGTCTAAAACCACACCAAAACATGTGGATATTGACCTTACCAGAACCCTAAAGCCCACTCCAGAAGTTTATCCTTACTGGAGTCAGCAGGAAGGACCTGCCCAGCCTACAGTTCCCACCGAGTGAGTTGAATTTTCTCCAACCCAGCTTGAGCCTCCTCTTGCCAAGCCTCCGGCACTGCCTGAAAAGATGGAACTTTCTCAGCTGAGCCTCCAGAGCCCCTCAAGAATGCAGAACAAGCTCCAGTACAAAATGTAGCCCCAGCCAAGCCACAAGACTTCCCTAACACTCAATCGTCTGCAACCCAGCAGGAGCTTCAAACTCAGCAACCAAACCTGACCAAAGTCACAGGTCAACCTTTGGATGTGGAACTCACCATAACTACACAACCTGGAATGGAAGGCGGACTTTCTCCAATCATGCAGGAGGCCCCAGTTCAGCTTCCAGGGCCATCTAAGGGGGGTATAGCTCAACCCCCAGGATATCAGGGGGTGACAGTTCCAACACCAGCTCAGGATCAAGATCAGTTTCCAAAATCACCCCGCATCACTGTTTCGACCTTTTGATCTGGCACTTACAATAACTCCACAGCCCATTACAGAGGCTGAACTTGCCACAAATGTGCAGGAGACTCCAACTAAAGAAACTGTAGCTCAGTACCAGTGCATCATGTGATGACAGTTCCAACATTAGGTCAGGATCAAAATCAACCTCCACTATCACCCAGTGTCACAAATCAACCTTTAGACCTGGCACTTACCATTACTACAGAACCTACTACAGAGGCTGAGCATCCTGCAGACCTGAGCAAGACTACAGCTCCATCTCAAACCTGACTCCAGTCACAACTCAACATCTGGACCTGGGACTTACCATAACTCCAGAAACCAGCAGTATGGTGACTGAACCCTCTACAGACATGCAGGAGACCTCAAGTCACCCTCCCATGGAGGGTGTAACCCAATCTCCAATACATCAAGAGGTGACAGTTCCAACACTGGGTCATAATCAAGCTCAATATCCAACATTGCCTCACATCACAGTTCAGCCTTTGGACACAGTGCTTACCATAAATGCAAAGCGTACCAGGAAGGCTGAACATTCTACAGCCCTGAAGAAGACTAAAGTACCTCCCGTGCTCCATGAGGAGGTACTTTCACAACCACACCAGGTTCAGGCTCAGCATCCAACCCTGACAGAAGTCACAGTTCAACCTTTTGATGTAGAACTTACCCTAACTCCAGAATCCGTTGTGAAGGGTGAACCACTCCCAACCATGCAGGAGACTTCAGGGCAGCCTCCAGGGCCACATAATGAAGTGGTCTATCATCCTCCAGTTTATTATGAGAATGTAGTTCCAAAACCAAGTCAAGATCAAACTCTGCATCCATTGTCACCCAGTGCCACAGCTGAACCTTCAAAGCTAGAGCCAACCATAACTCAGGTATCCACTACACAGGATGACATTCTACAGCCTTCAAGTCTATATCTCCTCCTCCTTATCCAATGTACCCTGAGGTGACATTTTGACATTTTCTTTTTTTTCTTTTTTTAAAATTTTTTATTTAGTAAATATAAATTTTCAAAGTACAGTTAATGGATTACAATGGCTTCCCCCCCCCACAATTTCCCTCCCACTCACACCCCTCCCATCTCCCGCTCCCTCTCCCATTCCATTCACATCAAGATTCATTTTCAATTATCTTTATATACAGAAGATCAATTCAGTATATATTAAGTAAAGATTTCATCAGTTTGCACCCACACAGAACATAAAGTGTAAAATACTGTTTCCATACTAGTTATAGCATTACTTCACATTGGACAACACACTAAGGACAGATCCCACATGAGAAGTAAGTACACAGTGACTCCTGTTGTTGACTTAACAATTTGACACTCTTGTTTATGGCATCAATAATCTCCCTAGGCTCTTGTCATGAGTTGCCAAGGCTATGGAAGCCTTTTGAGTTCACCGACTTTGATCTTATTCCGACAGGGTCATAGTCAAAGTGGAAGTTCTCTCCTCCCTTCAGAGAAAGGTACCTCCTTCTTTGATGGCCCCATTCTTTCCACTGGGATCTCACTCACCGAGATCTTCCATTTAGGTCTTCCTTTATTTTTTTCCCAGGGTGTCTTGGCTTTCCATGCCTAAAATACTCTCATGGGCTCTTCAGCCATATCCGAATGCCTTAAGGGCTGATTCTGAAGAGTGCTATTTAGGGCATCTGCCATTCTATGAGTTTACTGTGTATCCCACTTCCCATGATGGATTGTTCTCTCCCTTTTTGATTCTATCAGCTAGTATTAGCAGACACTAGACTTGTTTGTGTGATCCCTTTGACTCTTAGACCTATCAGTGTGATCAATTGTGAACTGAAATTGATCACTTGGACTAGTGAGATGGCATTGGTACATGCCACCTTGATGGGATTGTATTGGGATCCCCTGGCATGATTCTAACTCCACCATTTGGGGCAAGTCCGATTGAGCATGTCCCAAATTGTACATCTCCTCCCTCTCTTATTCCCACTCTTATATTTAACAGGGATCATTTTTCAGTTAAAATTTAAACACCTAAGAATAATTGTGTGTTAATCACAGAGTTCAACCAATAGTACTAGAACAAAACAAAGAGAAAATACTAAAATGGATAATGAAATAAATGAGATCCGCTTCTTGCATTTCTTCTATCTCATCATCTTCATAATCTTGAATTGGGGTGTCTTTTTCATTTGGGGGCATCATAGTGTCTTCCTTGTTCTTATTACCTTGGTTTTTGCGTTTGTTGTTTGGCATATTGGAGATATTTGGTTTCTTCACTGTGGTGCTTTTTCTTGTTATACTATGACTCTGGATTAAGTGGACTGTCTGTTTTTGATGGAGCCTTAGAGGCATGAGATGGGTGTGGCCTGAGAGCTCTGTTTGGTTCCTCAGGGTTAAGGGTGTGCCAAAGGTGACAGTCCCAGGTAAGGCATGGTAAATCTCTCTCTCTTTCTTTCTTTTGATTCAAAAGGGAAGTAATTCCACACAGCTGAACAGAATTGGAGGTAGTTAGCAGGCAAATAATATACCCACAGGAGCCAGAGATCGGAAGCTCTTTCCCAAGGACCACACAGGGAATCTGTCCTGCCCTCAGTGTGGGCTCAAATTCTCCTGCAGTCTCCCACTGGGTTGCCAAGGTTACCGAATTGTAGCATCTCTGGAGAGTACTCACGTGAATTCTGTGAGTTCTCTCCCCCATCGTCTCTTTTTTCACAGTCTCAGCTCAGTAGCACCACACATGCACTAGGTCCTAATCTCCAGTTAATTCACCCCCCACCCCGAGTTAGGTTTTTCTGCTAGGCTCAGGGCCGGTGCAGACCTGAGGTCGCCCTGCTTATGACGTATGTCCAAGATGGCGCCTGCTCTTTGTCTTGCTCGCCTATGAGAGGTGAGCAGAGAGAGAGAAACTCATGTCTGTATCGGTCACTTTTTTTTCTCTCTCTCTCTCTCTCTTCTAGTTAGCCTGGTGAACTTTTACCCACGGGGTCGTTCCCTCTAGTCTCCTCTTTCTGCTTGCCTGCCAGTGTCTCGGGCTATTGAGGTTCGGCTCACCTTGCGTTCCAGCACTGGTGTGTTGAGTCTGCCGCTGGTGTCCAAACTGTGGGCTCCCACGCTCTCCACACAGGTCCACCAAAGTCTTAACTCCAGAGATTGATGTTTGCTCAAGTCTTACTGAGGCAGTTTGAGCTTCTTCAATTTTCCTTCTCCCCTTCCAGCACTGGCGCGCAGACTCTGCGGCTCCCGTGGCTTGGCTTCCACGTGGTGGGCAACCTTGCTCTCCCCGTAGGTCCTCCGAGTCACAGCCACTAGATCCGGAAGTTTCCTCTGCAATTTTTTCCTGATCCTTTTCCTGAGGCTACCGTAACTCCACTTTTATTAAACTATCTTTTCCCAGACTATCGGTGCGCGCCCTCACTATTCCGCCATCCTCCTGAGGTGACATTTTCACCTCCAGTCCAGATTCAGACTCAGCATGCAAACCTACCTCCAGTCACAGTTAAGCCTTGGGACCTGGAAATTACCCACACCCCACAACTACTACAGAGGTTACACCTTCTACTACCATGCAAATGACCCTAACTCAGTCTACAGAGCCACTAAAGGAGCTTGTAACTCAGTCCCCAGGGTACAATGAGATGACAGTTCCAACAGCAGGTCAGCATCAAGCTCAGCACCCAACATCACCCAGTGTCATAGCTCAGCCTTCCAAGATGGAGCTTACCAGAACTCTGGTACCCACTGCAAAAGCTGGCCATTCTCCATCCCTGAAGAAGACTACAGATCTACATCCAGGCCAGGTTCAGACTCAGCACTCAACCCTAACTGAAGTCACAGATCAACCCCTGAATGCGGCTGCCACCATAAATGTCTGTGAGCTCTGCTCCTGCAAAGATGAGACACTTTCATGCACTGGCCTCAGCCCAGTGCAGAAGCTTCACAAAGTTCCTGTACCAGAGCCCAACAGCTACAATGGCACCTTCAGCATATTGTAAGAATCTCCCTTCCTCATGGTTCCCTACAGCCTGCCTGTCTCAGCAGCTTTTCCTCAAGAGCCTCCTGAGCCCTCCTCAAGTCCCCACCTTATGTTGACTGTGTGTGTGTGCGTGTGTGTGTGTGTGTTTTGGCAGACAGAGTAGGACAGTGAAAGACAGAGAGAAATGTCTTCCTTTTTCCGTTGGTTCACCCACCAAGTGGCCACTTTGCTTGTGAGCTTTCCTTATCCTCCTTCTCTTCTTACTCTTGTGTGCCTTCTACAGTCTCATATGTGATTGCCCTTACTGCTTTTCCTGATTCATTTTTTGTTGATTTCCACCATATTATTACCTCATTGCTTTACTCCCATTCTTAAACACAGCCCTCATCCCAACTTATTAGAGATGATACAACAGTTTTAAGGATAGATTCTGGAGCCAGGTTGCCTGGCTTTGAACACAGGTCTCCCAGTGATTAGCTTTGTGACTTTGGACAAGTTACTTAGCTTGGATTCAATCTCCTCATCTGTAAAACTGGGTTATGGCCGTGATCAGTTCACTAGACCGTTGTGTATTTAGATGAGTGGACACACAATACATCACTTCCAAGCATATGTGAATGTAAACTTGTAATAAATACCATTATTGCTAAGCCCCTCAGTTATAGCCTGACCTCACCTTTGTTCCTCTATACATAGTAGCCATTTTGTGCCATTCCAGGGTGTCACAGGAACCACAGATAGAGCACAGTTATTCTAAAACTTTACCTGAGGCCTACAATATGGCTATAATTTGTAAAATCAAGAAAAAAATGGGGAGTCTATCTTAGGCAAATATTTGTCTGATGGAATGATCAAGATTTAAGAGACAGTCTGGCTACAAGAGATTGATTTAGGAAGCAATGAAAGATATGCTAACAACCTTGAATATTGGCTGAGGGGTTTCAAAGTTCATAATGAGATATGGAGTGTCATTAAAAGCTTGTGAGCAAGAGAAAGATGATTTCAAATGGGGGATATTTTAATCTATTAT